CAGCTTTATTTCTCCGGCTGGCAGGCCCCCAGAGAAAAACATTGCCCCCCCCTGAGAAAAAAGTTGTTAGCAACGGGCAGGGGTCGTTTCGTAGAAAAAGAGCTAGGGGGGACTCATTAGCATATGCCACACCCCCTGACATCACCGGAAGTGTGTCATAAGGCCACACCCCCTGACATCACTGGAAGTGTGTCATAAGGCCACACGCCCTGCCCCCAATGGTCCCGGCCGCCGCTGCCGGCCTTGCAGCTCCACTGCCGAGCCCCATGAGGGGCCCGGCGGTGGACCTGCAAGGCCGGCGGGAGTGCAAGGAAGCCCCGCGAAGGCCCTCCCTGGCCCCAGGCAGGCAGGGGTGGGGAGAGGCAGGGAGGAAGCAACTTACCCTTCCTCTTCTCCTGCCTCCTCCTGGCTGAATGAGGGCCGGAAGTGGGGCGGCCGAAAGCAGGGGGCGGGGCTTCGTCGTGTGCTCCGCCCCCCCATACCTCACCCGGGGGAACTGTGATCCCCCCCGATCCCCCCGAAATGACCTCTGGCTACGGGGCTGCCTGGAGGTGCTGGACCTGTTCAGTAAACCTACATGTATCCCAAGGAAGATGTGGGTTTCTCCGAACAGCACCCTCCTGGAATTTTTTCAAGTTAGGGAAATGGTGCAGGGGGAAAGCTGAGGCCCCTCTTCCATGCGCACCATGGTCCTGATCCTAGTAGGGCATTGCACACACAGGGACTGAGAACCCAGAGCTCAGATGTGATTGTGTTATGTCTGGCACTGGATGGGATCCCAGACCCAACCTGTGCTATCCTGAAATGGAGGGAAGAAGAGCCGGGGACGCCAGCAGAACAAATGGGGAATTGTACAGGGAGGCACAAAAGTGCATAGAGAGACCGAGCACTTTTCTTTTTTATAGGGCTCAGTACTTTAAAAATCTATGCAAACCAGATTACTTCAGACACGGGCTTCAGCTTCACTATTTTGTTAAACTGTGTAACAGTGGCTCAATAACTCAGACACCTGCCAGAGTAACAAAACAGCCAGGATACTTGGTCAGGTTCGTAGCACAGCCTACGAGGTGCTCCGCTTAACAACATGTGGAGAGGTCTTAGTGAGTCAGCACGCTGGCAATTTAGTGCCATCGCTGTGCAATTTATCTTGGAAAGCCTAGGTCGCTTTTACTGTTTCCGTGTCAAGAGACAGACTTAATTTAAAGGCTTTCCATGAGAAAGCATGAAAAGGGTTTACAAAAGGTTTTAAGTCTCATTTCCCTTTTTAAAACAGCAACTTGAGTACCACCACCGAGTTAAAAAGACAAATAAAACTGTACATCAGAAACAGGGTTCTGGAGCCACAAGAAACAGGACCCGCAATACTCATGGGGTTGGTGTATTCCCCACGGCTCCCGGGCTGCCAAGCCTTCTCCCCGCCACCCACAACGACAACAGTGGCAAGCCCTGTGTGGCTGTGAGCTGTCAGGTCCACCAGGCTTCTCCCCCCCACCACCACCGCGGCAACAACTGGCTCAGCTCCTGGTTGCGGGCCTGTCAGGCTTCTCTCCCCCCCCGTCTCCGACAGTGGCAACGGCTGTGGCTCCTAGCCGTCACCCCCACCGCCAAGGCTTCTCCACCCCCGCTGCCACCGCCAGGACCAACCGCGGTGAACCCTGCGTGGCTCTGCCACAGATCCCAGGGGTAAGTGTGTTCTCTGCGCATGTGCAGGGAATGCTTTTTTACTTTGGGGGGGATTTAAGTATCCCCCCTATAGTTTTTTAAACTTTTCAGATTTTTCTGCACACCTGGGGACTGCCCCAAGTGTGAAGGAAAATCTCTCTGCCCCCTATGTGCCCCCGATGTGTGGATTTAGATATCCGCACAGAGGGGGCAACTTGGCTATTAGATATATAGACAAGGGGCGGACCCGCGGTACTCTCG